TAGCAAGACTCTATCTCAGAAAAACCAGCACAGCATAAAATATATATTCCACATTTCATGTTTTTCAAAACATCTGATCTCTGCTTAGAAATATTTAGATATTCAAAACAGAAATGAACCACATCAATTCCCAGTTATCCCATTTTATACCACAAGGCAGCTGGCACTTCCTAAAAGTGAGAGAAATGCTCCCCCAAAAAAGGAACACTGCTATGTTTTCAAGAATCTGTTTCCTGGGACTGTGCACATACCTCAGTGGTAGAGGCCTTGCTCAGCATGTAGCAACGTGTAGTCCCATTTTTATTCAAAACCATGCTTTTCTTAAAAATGTAGGCTCTATTGGCCTGGGATTTAGCTCAATGGTTCTGGTGCCTGCCTCGAAAGCACAAGGGCCCAAGTTTGATCCCCGGTACAAAAGAAAAAAAAATGTAGGCTCTGTTTTTTTTAATTCAGGAAGCATGAGCACTAACTCCCTAAAATGGCTATTTCCGGCAGTGGAATGGGAAGTGAAAACTTTAAATTTTTATTTTGTAACAAAATAAAACAAAATTTCATAACAAAATAATGAGGGGCCTGGGATTTAGCTCAGTGGTTCCACCGCCTGCCTCACAAGCGCTAGATCCTGAGTTCTATCCCCGGTACCAAAAAATAAAGAGAGAAAGAATAACAACAGTTAATATACCATGTATCTTTATCTTCAAAGTAGCAGAGTACAAGACATAACCAAAGAGATTCTTAGAGGCATTTCAATTTTTTTTTTTTTTTTTTTTTTGGTTCAAGGGATTGAACTCGGGCCCTGTGCTTGCACGGCAGGCACCAGAACCACTGAGCTAAATCCCCGGCCCCCAAAGAGATTCTTAAAAACAATGGATAATAATACAAAATTCTTTTCAACAATCTAAGATAAACCAGTAGTATAAATGAACAAAGTAGTATATGTATTAAAAAAATTTTTTTTTAGACAGGGTCTCACTGTGTAGCTGAGACTGACCTGGAACTCACTATGTAGCCCAGGCTGGTCTCAAACACATCGATTCCCCTGCCTCAGCCTCCGGAGTGCTGGGATTACAGGAGTGCACCACCAGGCCCAGCCTAAAATATTATTGAAACAACAAAATATGTGATTTGGCAAAAAGTATTTGAACTTCTTCCCACTTCCTATTTATCTCTTCTATTTTGCTCTTTATTTGTATATTTATATATATACTGTGTTCTTCGTGCGAGAGAAACCATGCAATATTTGAGCTTTTGTGTCTGGCTTATTTCATTTAACTTTGTGTTCTCAAGTTGCATCCACTTTCCTATGAATGCCTCAAGTTTATCTTTCTTTACAGCAGTGTATAAATACCCATTGTGTATAAATACCCCATTTTTCTTATCCATTCCTGGTCCATCCATTGATGAATATCTGCTTCCAAGATCATGCATCCCTGTAAAATGATGATTTTAGTTCTTTGAGGAAAATATTTAGAAGAGGGACAGCTGGGTCAAACGGGATTTCTATTTTAATATTGTGAGGAATCTCCACACTGATTTCCTTCATGGTTGTACTGGTTTACATTCCCACCAACAATGTAGAAGGGCTCCTTTTTCCTCCATATCTTCACCAGCATTTATTATTATTAGATTTTTGGATGTTAGCCATTCTTTGCAGGGAAAGCAGCTATCTCAGTGTAATTTTAATTTGCATTTCTTTTTTGTTTGTTTGTTTTTGTTTTTTGAGACAGGGTCTCACTATGTAGTTCAGACTGCTCTGGAACTCACTGTGTAGCCCAGGCTGGTCTGGAACTCACAGTGATCCTCCTGCCTCAGCCTCCCAAGTGCTGGGATTATAGGCATGCACCACCACGCCCGGCTAACTCGCATTTATTTGATGGCCAGCAATGTTGAGCATTTTTTCATGTATTTATTGGTCATTTGTACTTCTTCCAATGAGTGTCTATTCATTTCAGATGCCCATTTTTTAATTGAGGCTCTTGTTTTTGAGGGTCTCGTGTTTTTTTTTTTATTGAGTTTATTGGTACATTCTAGGTATACAGACAGTTACATTCATTATTGGGATCTTGTACCTTTACATGACAGGTCTTAGTTCTCATTTTTTCCCCTTGTCCCTGCCCTCCCTTCACCCTCTCCTCTCCTCCCCATTTACAAACACTTTATTTCCATTTTTTCATTTTCTTATATTTTTCCTTTTCCCTTATTACCTTTCCCCTACCCTTCCCACTTTCCCTACACCTTTAGCCCTTTTCTTCCTATTTCACATTGTCAATTATCTCATTAGGATGAGGGTCTAGTGTTTTGAGTTCTTGTATATTCTTGATGTTAGTCCTTTCCCCAAGGTGCAGCTGGCAAAAACTGTTTTTCTATTCTGCAGGTTATCTCTTCACACTGCGGGTTGTTTCCTTTGCTATGTATAAGCTTTTTAATTTGATATGGTCTCATTTTTGTTGATTCTCAGTATTATTTTTTCCTTCCTTTTTTTTTGAGATAGAGTTTTACCATATAGTCCATGCTGGCCTCAAACTCAAGGCAATCCTCCTGCCTCAGCCTCCCCAGTGCTGGGATTACAGGCACACACTACCACACAGGATTGGTATTATTTCTTGTGCCAGTGGGGTTCTGTTCAGAAAGTCCTTGCCTACACCTCTATCTTCAAGAGTTGTACCTACTTAATTTTTCAGAAAATTTAGTGATTCTATTTTAACATTTAAATCTTTGATCCATTTTGATTTTAATTTAGTACATGGTGAAATATACATATCTAGATTCATTCTTCTGCATATAGGTAGCCAGTTTTCCCAGCACCGTTTATTAAAGAGGCTGTCCTCCCTCCAAGTGTATGCTTTTGGCTACTTTGTCAAAGATCAAATAGCTGTATGTGCCTGGGGTGGTTTCCGCTTCTTCTATTCTGTTACACTGATGCACACACACATACCTGTCTTTGTACCAGCTTTAGTCACTGCAGCTTTACAGTACAACTTGAAATTTGGGGTTGTGATTTGCTTATATAACCAAGATTTCATTGCTCTTCTGGGTCTCTTCTGATTCCATGTGAATTTTAGTACTGTGTTCCTTACTTCTGTGCAGACTGACTTTGGTGTTTCGACTGGGACTGCATTAAATCTGTATATCGGTTTTTGGAGTAGAACCATTTAGATTATATCGGTTCTCCTAGCCGAGAACAGAGGATATCTTTCTATTTTCTGATATCTTGCTGGATTTCCTTTTTCAGAGTCAAGTAACTTTTATTGTAGAGGTCTTTCAGTTACGTTAACAGGAAAGTATTTAATTTTTTGATGCTATTGTGAATGATGTTGTCCTAACTGCTTTTTCAGTGAGTTATTAGTGTACAGAAATGTTACTGATTTTTGTGTGTATCCTACAACATTGCTGAAGTTGGTTATCAGTTCTAGGAGTCTTTTGGTGGAGTTTTGTAGGTCTTATAAGTAAAGGTGGATGTCATCCGCAAAGAGTGGTATTTTGACTTTGTCTTTCTTGTATGAATCACTTTCATTTCTTCCTCTTGCCTGATTGCTCTGGCTAACATTGCAAGGACTATGTTCAGCAGGAGTGGTGATAGTGGACATCCTTGTCATGTTCCTGTTTTTACAGGGAAGGCTTTCAGATTTTCCCCTTTTAATATGACCCTGGCGGTATGTTGGTCATAAATTGCTTTCATCATTTTTTTTTCTTTTTTTTTTTTGAGACAGGGTCTCACTATGTAGTTGAGACTGACCTGGAACTCACTATGTAGTCCAAGCTGGTCTCGAACTCACAGCGATCCTCCTGCCTCAGCTTCCCAAGTGCTAGGATTACAGGTGTGCGCCACCACGCCTGGCTGCTTTCATCACGTTTAAATAAAGACCTTCTATGCCTATTTCCTTCAGGGTTTTTATCATGAATGGATGTTGGATTCTGTTAAAGGATTTTTCTACATCTATTGAGATGATCACGTGGCTTATGTCCTTGTTTCTGTCTCTGCAATACATTATATTTACTTATATTTCTAAGTTGAACTATCCTTACATCCCTGATAAAGCCTAATCAGTCATGGAAAACTTTAATTTTTCTTACCTCTTTACACTTCTGTATTTTTAAAATTTCTGTATTATTATCTATTTTAATAATTATATTTTAATATTTAATAATTATTAGATAAATTTAATATTTAATATTGTCTATTTTAATAATAACAATAGAAAAAACTCAAGGCTGGGGATTTAGCTCAGTGGTTCTGCTGCCTGCCTCAAAAGCACAAGGACCTGAGTTCAATCTCCAGTACCAAAAAAAAAAAAGAAAAGAAAAGAAAAAGCTCTATAAATGCTGTCTAACTCTTGCATTTTCTTAGGTTTTCCTGCCTCAAAAATACTTCACAATGCAGAATTTGACAGCAAACAAGATGCTTTAGTTACTTTTTCTCACTGCTGAGACAAAACACCTGACCCCCAACATTAAAGGAGGAGAGTCCTGTTTAGTTCACAGCTTGTAGCTGTCTGGCTCCAGGCAGGGCTGCATGACTGTGGGGTATCGCAGGAGAGAAACGGTTCATGGCAGGCAGAAGACGGCAAAAGCAGGTAAAGAAGCAAGTCCAAGCGACTTTCGCAGCCTCTTTCTGTCTCTTATCTCGTACCCAGGCTGCTGGGGTTAGGGTGGAGCCACACCAATCAGTGGGCTGATTTAGTAATCACGCACTCAGCATCACACACCCTAGATCCAGCCACCTCTGGAAAGGACCCAGCTGTGGCCACATGAGGCTTTGGGGGGTCAGCTAGACACAAGCCATAACCCAAGGGGAGCCAGCATGACTGTTGGGATAAGTTGGTTTACTACAGACAGACAACAGCGTTCGAAGACATTTAACCAAATAAACTTTATTCCACCTTCATATATGTGAAAAAAGTGATTTGAGTGCGAATTCTGTACAAGGGATCCTGTAAGCAGGAATTGTTTTCAGTCTTCGTTTCTCCTTCTCAATGAACCACAACCTTTGACCCCTGCAGGAATCCAGGGCCTCTACAAACTCCCTGCCCCCCACCCTCCTGCGTGCTGCCTGCAGCCAAGATCTACAGACAGGCTCAGCAATTCCTCACCCTCTGCCTCGACAAGCCCTGGAGACACTGAAGGACTTGCCTATATCTCATTTTCATTTCCACTGTAAAGCTTTCCCAGATTGCCCAAGGTAAACATGGTTCTACCTCTATTATGTTCTGCTATTTTGCTACTATGTTATTTCTATTACTATACTAAGTGTGGGTTGTATAGCTAGCTGTGTGTGTGTGTGTGTGTGTGTGTACACGTGCATGAGCATATTCCCACTTCATTGTTTATTCATCCTGACTTTGGAATGGCATATGTGTTTTTTAAACATATCAAACATTAAAGCCAGGTGTGGTAGTTGGTACACACCTGTAATCCCAGCACTCAGGAGGCTGAGGCAGGAGGATCACCGTGAGGTCAAGGCCAGCCTGAACAGAGTGAGACCCTATTTCAAAAAACAAAAGTCAAGAAACATTCATCTGATATTAATGAAATGGGTCTTTCTTCCCCCAGCCTTTCCCCATGACAACCTTTTCATTTCACAGTGTTATTTTCTCTGTGCACCCTTCTAAAACTAGCAAAAACCTATGTGCTGCGAAGCTCCCTACAGAAATACTGTGACCTTCATCTAACTCCACCGTCTTCCAGGAGACATCTTGGAAAGAACTCTTCCACTTCTGTTCTGCTTTTCTTATCTGCAGAAGTGATTTGGAAATGAGTCACTCAGAACTTCTCCCTCTGAGATCAGATAGTGGTGGAGATCCGGAGGTCCGCTTTAGGAAACAGAAACGCAAGAGCTCAGCAAGTGGCCCAGACACACTCTGACTTCACTGCGCGTGGTGCTGGACCCGAGGGCTCTGGAGACCTACAGATTGCTCAGGGAGCCTTCGACTGTCTCTGCTTTTTGGTAAGAAGACTTCGGTTGAGCTGGTGACTTGTGCGGGACTCACCTTGCTCATTCTAGGTACCTGTGCAGGGCCCTTCTCTCCAATTTCTCCATTTCCATCCCCAACTTTCAGCTCTCGTCTTATCCTTATGTTCACCTTTCCAGTTCTAAAACTTTGACTTTCTAATTGTGCTTGCTTCTAATACCTTCATTCTGGAAATGATAACGAACTTTCTGTCATCTGTCCCTTCCTTGATTCCAGCTTTTCCCCACCAGTTTTGATTCTCAAATCACTGATTGTGCACATTCAGACACCAACACATATAAATTCCCAGTCTACTTTTCCTTCTTCAGTTCTTTGGTCCATTTCTTTTTGCTACTACCTTCATCATCCTGCTATTACTCCATGCTGCAGTCTTTTTTGTTTTTTTTTAATTTTAGTTTTAATTTTATCTTTTTCATTAGTGCTGGCCAATTCAATATTGATATCTTTTTTTTTAAGTGTCTACTAATTCAAACGTAGGAGTATTTTTCAGCCCAAACTTGGAGAAATATACAGTGATCTTGTTCTGAAGGATTTGTAATCTGGCTGGTGTTGTTGTTGTTGTCGTTGTCACTGGGGATTGAACTCAGGACCTTGGATTGGTGAGGCAGGCAGCGGAATCACTGAGCTAAATCCCTGGCCCTCTGAAGGGTTTGTAACTCCTGACTCATTTTTTTTTTTTCATTTTAAAACAAATAATATTGATATTTAAAAATATAGTTTGAGCAAGGTGTGGTGGTGCACACCTGTAATCCTAGCACTCGGAAGGCTGAGGCAGGAGGATTGCTGTGAGTTTGAGACCAGCCTGGGCTACACAGTGAATTGCAGGTCAGTCTGAACTACCTAGTGAGACCCTGTCTCAAAAAAAAAAAAGTTTGTGACAGCTAATTCCATTTCTCTCATATCAGAATGTCATTCTTTTCCACCTTTGTTCACTTTGGACAGTACCCTTTGTTAGCAATGGTGTGGGTTTTTCCATTATCTGATCTTTGCAGTAAAGAAGAGTATTGCTTGATGTTCACTGGACTTAGTATCTTAATCTCTGTAGTTGTGATTTTGTAAAAGTCTATTTACTGAGCTTCGGTATTAAAAACTGAAAAGTAAAAGCAGTGAGAACAGAGATGATTGCGTTGTTTTTGTTTTGAAGTCCAGGAGGTTGAACCCAGAGTCCTTGAACTGATGTACCTCCCCAGCCCCCTTTTTTTTGCCAAGCTCTCACTAAGCTGCCTGGGCTGGGCTGCAATCTGTGATCCTCCGTCCTCAGCCCTCCAGAGAGCTGTTTTCTTTCAGACATCGCAGTCCACGCTGCCCTTGCTCTCGATACTGCACGGCTCTGCAGGAGCCCGCATGTTGGAATGGGACGGGATCGGGGCAGCTGCCATTCAGTGCGGGAAAGAAGGGTCCTGCCAGGACTTGAATGTCTGAGTAGAAGCAGCCGCAGAAAAGAGAATAAGGATCATTTCTCCTTTTTTTTTATTTTTGTTGACTTGCTATTTTAACTTCTGCTAATCATGCAAAACCCTGTGACAACATCTGTTTAACTCAGCAAAGTACTTTCAAACACTGTGGGCCTCTCTAAAAAGAGAGTGCTCTTGTATCCTTGAAAACTGGGAACTTAGAAGGGAAGTTAGAAGGGACGGCAAAGGAAATAAGGAAGCAGGCAAGGTAATGGTTCAATGGGGAGCAATTAGAATCTTAAATTGAGTTGAAAATGAATAGTCAACCTCAAAAGTGACCATTCCTCCATTCACATATTCTTTATTGTTGGTGGTGGTGGGTTTCTTTTGTTTGGTTTTGTTTTGTTTGTTTGTTTCTTGAGACAGGATCTCCCTATGTAGTTGAGACTGACCTGGAACTCACTATGTAGCCCAGGCTGGTCTCGAACTCACAGCGATCCTCCTGCCCCAGCTTCCCAAGTGCTGGCCACATATTCTTTAGCCTTTAGGTCACCCAGGGCAGTGTGCTGAATTCTGTGAAATGATCGTTTATGAACAACACTCATTTTTATCTTCGTGAAATTTAAGGTAGAACGATAGATAAAACAGTCACAGTGATAATTTCATTATAATACAAGACAAAATGTGCTACTACATAGCAAACATGAGAGGAAAAGACTCAGACACACACTTAGGGAGCTGGAGAATTGATGTCTGGGTAGGGTTGGAAGAGAGTATTTCAAGGAATTGTAGTATTTGAGCTTGATCTTGAAGAACAAGTCAAACTCCAACAGGTATGGATCAAGGGTGGAGAAGGCAGCTAGATGAAGGGGAGAGTTCTGACAGCCGTAACTTGGCAAGCGACAGAAGATGCCTTCACTAAGCATTTCAGGGACGTGGGAGGGTCCGGAGCTAGAAGAAGGAAATGTCACAGAGCCAGAGAACAGCCTGCGAGGGGCTCGGTGGAGCAAATGGCAAATCTCATGTTGTGGAGGATGAAGCCACAAAGAGGTTCTGGGTTTGTTTTCCAGAAGAAATTTTAGCAGAGCAATGGGGACGGAGGACAAATGACCAAGGATAAGAAGTCAGTGCTCCAAGAGACGCCAACTGTCCTTCCTGTAAAGGAGAAGCTATGTTAATGAAGACGTTTGATGGATGGATCTTGAGACAAGAAATTAAATGAATCCGATGCAGGTTAAGTGTTGCATGGTTTCTCTAACGGGAGCAGTCCAGAATGGAACTCATTTTGGAGCAGCATAAAAGAGTGACGGTAACAGGGATGCAGACTGGCGATGGGAGGGGACCTCAGGAACTGGGGAGAAGCGGGTAGGGCTGGGAAGGGGAACAAACACGGTCCAGATGCGCCGTGTATGGCACCCATTACCCCGGGTGACGTGACTGCTGCGTTTCACAACATATACCAAGAAGAAAGGGCAAAGAAAAGCAACATGAGAGATGCAGCACCCCCGACTGGACACCACAGGGGACAAGCTGTTTGTGAGATATAACGGGTGGGGGGGGGAGGTTGGGAGATGACTGGGTAAAGTCTGAGAATTCCTGGAAGAACCCTCTTGCTGTGTGCGTAACGAGAGCCTGCAGGCAGAAAACACAAAGCAAAATCAAAACAAAACTGTATGAATTGACTCCCATTTCAGCGATGCACCGGTTACAAGAGCCCACAGGTGGAAACAATCTAAATGTTCCGTGAGGAAGGCTTGGATAAGCAAAATGCAGTGGAAACCTTAAATAGGGAAGAAATCCTGGCCCATTCTCCAACATGCTTAACACTGTGCTTAGTGAGAAAAAGCCAAACCCAAGGAGACAAACTGTATGATTCCAAGTTCGTGAATTATGTTGTCAAGTTCATAGAAACAGAAAGTAGAACGGTGGTTGCCTGGGGTTGTGGGGAGGAAAAAAAAAACAAGAATTGTTTCATGAGTACAAAGTTTCCGTTTTGTAAGATGAAAATTTCTGAAATCAGTTGCACAACAATACGCATGTAGGAAACACTACTGAGTTGCACACTTAAAAATGATTAATGCTGGGCATGGTGGTGCACCCCTGTAACACCAGCACTTGGGAGGCTGAGGCACGAGGATCATTGCAAGTTCAAGGCAAACCTGAGCTATATAGTGAGTTCAAGGCCAGCCTGGATTACATAGTGAGACCTGTCTCAAAAAAACAAACCAAAAAATGGTTAAAATGGCAACTTTTACATTGTACCACAATTTAAAAATTTTTTTTTAACATTCATGGTATGACCGAACTCTGTTTAACAGGAAATATACATAAATATAAAACACATATACCTGATAAAAGATATATAGAGGTATTAAATTAAGATATTAAAGTGGTAATAACTGGTGATTATGCCATTTTTATTTTCATTTTCTTTTTTCTTTTTGCCATTTTCATTTTCTTGGCTTGTCCGCATTCTTCCAATTCCTTCCATACGTATTTTCTGCATTTGTAATAATAACACTATCTTTCCCTTGTTATACTTTATAAAATGCAAATAAGGAACACAGATGGTTGATGAAGTTGATACAAAGATAAAAAGCTCTTCAGAAATACGATAGCAAGAGAAGATGGAGATACATTGAACAGATGTAACTCAGTCCCAGCTCCTTCTGGGAGTTCTTTGAAAGTCCACCGGAGAGAATGGGTAGATCTTGTCCTCAGAAAAATGAAAATATGAAAAGTTAAAATTATTTTAGATGGTGGTAAAGCTTGCTAAAGCCTTCTCGTGACCTCAGGTTGGTGAGCACCAGTCTCAAAGTTTTCCTTTGTTTACTCATTTAGCTCATTTTAAAACTTTTTGTATTCTTTTGTTTTTTGAGACAGGGTCTCGCTATGTAGTTCATGCTGTCCTGGAATTCACTATGTTGCCCCGGCCTGGCCTCAAAACTCTAGGCAACTCTCTTGCCTCGGCCTCCTGAGTGCTGGAGTTATAGGTATGCGCCACCACGCCTGCTCATTTGTTCAACAGAGGACATTGGGTGAGAAAAAGAGCCAGTGGAAAGTGAGAGATTGAAAATACAAGAGATGGGAAACTTACTCGGATATGATTTCAAAAGAAGTTATTATTTTGATACAAATTTAATTCAGTGAATTTTAAATTGTCTATCAGAACGTTTTAGCGTGGTCTCATATGAAGTCAAGAGATACAGTATAAAACATTTTTAGGGCCTTCTAGGCTTAGTGATGTCACATCATTATGTGGGAAAGTTAAAATTTTAAGACTACATATTTTTACAAAGACACTGTCCATTGGGCTGGGGATTTAGCTCAATGGTTCCACCACCTGCCTTGCAAGCACAAGAACCTGAGTTAGATCCCCAGTACCAAGAAAACAAAAACAAAGACAAAGACACTGTCAGTTGTCACATTTTCTTTTATCTTTTTGCAGAAATTTAGCCATGGAGTCTTTCTCTGCTGAGACCAACTCAACTGGCTGGTACTTAGAGACTCGGTATTTGCCCCAAACAATTCTTGCCATGGCCATTCTTGGCCTCACTTTCATACTGGGATTGCCAGGCAACGGGCTGGTGCTGTGGGTGGCTGGCCTGAAGATGCGGCACACAGTAAACACGGTTTGGTTTCTTCACCTCACCTTGGCAGACTTCCTCTGCTGCCTCTCCTTGCCCTTCTCCATGGCTCACTTGGCTCTCCATGGACACTGGCCGTATGGCAAGATCCTATGCAAGCTTATCCCCTCCATCATCATCCTCAACATGTTTGCCAGTGTTTTCCTCCTTACTGCTATTAGCCTGGACCGCTGCTTGCTGGTACTCAAGCCAGTCTGGTGCCAAAATCATCGCACTGTGAGAAGAGCCTGCATTATCTGTGGATGCATTTGGCTGGTGGCTTTTGTAATGTGTGTACCTGTCTTTGTGTACAGGGAAACAAGCACCCTAGACAACCACACTATCTGTAGCTACAATTTTGGTTCCACCTCATTTGACTATCTGGACTACCCTTATGACCCAGATACACTGGACCACGGGACTCCTGACCCCACTGTCCAGCTACCTGGAGAAACGGAAGACGGACTGGCACCTTCTTTCCAATCGCATAGTCATCCTTGGTCAGTCACCACTGTCCTCCATTCTCAAACATCTCAAAGACCTTCTGGAGATTCATTCCATATGGGTTCCACACAATTGTCTAGTCAACATAAATCTGCTGCTGTGGGCTCACTCACAACCCTCAGTAGGCTTCCCACAGAAGAGAGCAGAACTAACACATTACATAATTCTGATCCTTTTCTCTCCACTGATTTAGACCTCTTCCCCGATGCTTCCCGCAATGGCTTATCCACGCCTGAGCTATCAGAAGACTTCCAGTATGATTATTTAAGCCCAGTAACTTACGAAGATCAAGCCCCTTTGATGGCAATAACCTTCACAAGACTAGTGCTGGGTTTCCTGCTGCCTACGATCATCATGGTGCTGTGTTACATCCTCATCGTCTTCCGAATGGGACGGGTGCGCATCGTGAAGTCTCGGAACAAAGCCCTGAGTGTGGCCGCGGTGGTAGTGACCGTCTTCCTCGTCTGCTGGACTCCGTACCACGTGTTCGGAGTCCTCACCCTGTTTATGGACTTGAACAGTCCCTTTGGGGAGGCTCTGCTGTCCTGGGACTGTGTGTCCCTCGCTCTCGCATCTGCCAATAGTTGCTTCAACCCCTTCCTCTACGCCCTCTTGGGGAAAGATTTTAGGAAGCAAGCACGGCAGTCTGTGAAGAGTGTTCTGGAGGCAGCCTTCAGTGAGGAGCCCACGAAGTCTACCAGTTGTACCCAAACCAACATCTTTTCAGAAAAACACAGCCTCAGTACAAGTGTGTGAAAAGACAGAGCAGCCGATATGAGATGTTCACAGGTGAATATTTGCAGGAGGAGGAGGGATACGGTAATCAGAAGGCACTCATCAATCCAGTTGTTCTCAGTGTGGGCCTGGACTATAGGAATCAACATCACCTGGAAAATGGTAGAAATGCAAAAACCCCATCCCAGACTTGCTAAATCAAAACCACTGGCCAGGAGGTCCTGCTAAGGGTTTAACAGACCCTCTTGGTTTTGGTTCCAGTGTGGTATTTCCACATACACATAGAGCATACACTGATCAACCAACCCCCTACTGGCCCAACTTCTAGTAATCACTTTTCTACTTTGAGGAGACTCAGTATTCATCCCAAACAATTCTTGCCACAGCCATTCTTGGCCTCACTTTTGTACTGGGATTGCCACGCAATGGGAAGTTTTCAACTCCCACATGAGAATATGCAGTACTTGTCTTTCTGTATCTGGCTTATTTCACTTAACACAATCCCATCTGTCTCCCTGCAAGTTTCCTGATTTCATTCTGTATAGCTGAATACTACTCCAGGGTTTATATATACCATACTTTCTTTCTCCAGTCACCTGTTGTCAGGAACCTAGGATGATTCCATCCCTTAGCTACTATAGTGTCGCAATAAACTTTCTTGAATTTGTAAAGTACCCAGGTCCTCTCACCTTCTTTTTCCCTGTGTATACTTCTGCGTGTTAAACCTTGGAAATTTCCGGCTTGCTTGTACTACAACATAGCCGCATATAAGCTAAATATGACAATCTAAAAAGAAGAAAGTGTGGCATATTTAAGATTTGCAAGACATTTGTTTAATGGCTGAGCTGAGAGACTGGACTATAAATATGTTGTAAAGTAACTGAGCAGAAAGATTTCAAATCACAAGGAATTCCGTAGGCCATGGGATAATCATGTCTGGCATGCTGTAAGACTTGTGGGGCTACCTTTCAAATTTCATTTGCTTATAAATTTTATGAGAATAAACGCACTTCCCATGGCTCCTTGCAAGATTCCGAGATTCATGAATCCTTTTGACATTCCAAATATATCATAACCTCTAACCACACAGCAAGTAAACCTCATAATGACATAGGTACAAAAGGCTCCTGGGAACCTGGATATGTCCTGTAAGACCTGCCATAAAGTTCCAAACTACTGGGGTTCATGTACAGGGTATTGGGTGAACGATCAAGCATGAAGACTGAATGTACAATGAACAAGTGGCATTTCTGGACTCCTTTTGTTACTTTGGGATTTTGTTCTGATGACGTTTCTCTAATTAGAATTCCCTTAGGCCAGGGATTTAGCTCAGTGGCACCGCGCCTCCCCGCAAGTGCAAGGTCCTGAGTTCAATGCCTGGTATTAAAAAACAAAAAAACAAAAACCCTTTCGTGAATACCTATAACTCTCACTTCTCCAGAAGTCCTGGACAAGGACAAAACTCCTCCCCAGAATGAAGCACCTTGCATCTTGAAACTATAACCTTGAATGCAAGCAATGTGCGTCTACCCCATCAGCCAACCTGAAAGGGGTGGCCGACCCTCCCAACAAGAGCTCCCTATATTTAATAGTATTTGAAGTAAGTCAGGTTAAAAGCACACACTAACTCGTATCATTAATCTTACCATGAAGAAAAAAGTTGAAGCCAACTAATTAATCCCAGTGGTACAAGGGGGAAATTGGCTAAAGGCCAATTGAAGCCAAATCCTTTCACATCTCTCCACTCCTACCCTGGGAAAAAGAGACTGGAGACCAGTACAAGATAAAACTGGAAACCTTCTGGGGTTTTTTTGTTTTGTTTCATTTTTATTAGGAAAGCATGCAAAAAAAAAAAAAAACAAAAAAACCAAAAACAACACAACCATGAGACCACATCCCCTTCCCAGCTTCCACCAATGCAAAGCATTATGGGTGGCATGAAGGACTCACCAAACCAGAAACGTGGGCTTAAGGAGAGGAAGCCTGGGATGGATGGGTCGATACCAAGTTACTGCTCCTTTATCCCTCTCACTTTTGCCCTCATTTCCTCCTATAAGCAGTGAGCTCCTGCAATTCCACACACATCACCCAACACAACCACAATGACGAGGCTCCGTGTCCAGCAACGCTGGACCAACAAGAAAAAGGAGTATTCTTTCCACCTCATGTAGGGGAGGGGAAACCGAGGCCCACAGAAGTCAGGTTTGTCCTGCAGCGTTAGCAAGGCTGAGGTGGGCAAGAGGGCCTGCAAGCTCAGGGGGCCCGAAGAGCAGTCTCCAGGTCCAGCCCCCAGCGTCAGCTACTCTGGCGGCCACCAGAGCCCTTCACGAGATGGCGGCACGAGGGCGACCTGTGTGTAAGACGTCACCTACCCTGCCTACCCTGCGTGGGCCTCAGTAGGAAGGGGGTTTAGAAAAGGGGAGCGTTCATCTGTAAAGCGGGAATCCCAGGAAGACGGAAAGGAAGGTGCAGGATGCACCCTGAATGTGGCAGTAAGGAGAGCTGCCTAACCGGATGTTTTGCTGCCTCCCCTAGAAAAGCTCCCCTCCCCAGTGGGAAACACTGTGTCGCACTTCACAAAGTGCCCTCAACACATGGAGACTCAAAGCCACCCACACACACACACCCCTTCCCATCTTTCTCACAAAGGCTTCAAAGAAATAAAGTGCTCTTTAGTTAGCTGTCCTGCTCGCCCCTTACTTCAGCTGCACAAACTCGCGCAGAACCCCTTCCAAGAAAGCAGAGGCGACAACAAGGGAGAAGAAAGCCTGACGACAGCCTGGAGATCGCAAAGAAATCAAAGGATGAAGAAAAGAAGACATTACAGAGTCTTGTTCATGCCACACATTTTGTCCTGCAGTTTGTAGAAAGGGAAAATTTAGTCAAATAAAAACGGATGTAAAATTGTTCTTCCCTCTCCTAACCCAAATTCAACAGTGAATATTCAATGTACACTAGGAATTTACAGCAATGAATCGCTTGCTGGAGGACTCGCCTTCACGCCCTCTTCTGGGAGCCCCTGGGCCCTCACCAACCCCATCTGATGTCATCTGCCCCCTTTACCCAATTTCCCGCACCCCTCAAAAGCTTCAAGCCACACAGTCTGGATTTCAAGAGCAGCATCTGCTATCCAGTGACATACACGAAACCCATGGTCCACGCCAGCTCATTCCCCTCCTCCCATCCCTAACATAGCTGCATTCCGCTGTCTGGTGGGAAGAGATTCCCCCACCACATCAGGGCCAGGACGAAACCCTCAGTGACCATGGCTCACTTTCTCTTTCTTGAAAATCCCAGGAAATGGAGGAAGAAAACAAGATGAGTAGCTCTGGGCAGCCAACTAGAGAAGGACAAAATAAAATATGCTGGATGGGGAAAGGCAGAGGATGACGACTTGTAAATCCAAGTAAGAGCTGCAGTTAAGTTTTCAGGGGATTCTTTTTTAAAAGTCAAAATGGTTAAAATGAAGCCATCGCCAAGAAGCTGAGCTGATGGTGAATATTGTGCACTTGGGCTACGACAGAAGCAGAGCTGCAGCAAAGACCAACCCATGCTCCTTAGCGAATGGGGTGGGAGGAGCCAATGGACGCCCCATGATGCAGCAGTGCACACCCAACCTCACCCTGACTTCCTTTCCATCACTTCTGTGCAAGCTTCTCACCCCATCCAGGCTGCAATCCCACTAGGATCTTACTGTCACCCTCCATGGGAGTGAGGATTGTCGGAAGAAGTAAGGAAGGAAGGTACAAAAGGACAAGGAGACAGCTCAGAGGGCAGAATTAGCACCATTGAGTAAAATCTGCAAAGTTTTAGATCCCTTCTACTTGATAACGTGACCTTTCCAGTCCTGGCCTGAAACAGACAGGAACAGAAAACAACTTAGCACTAAAAGGTGGGGTCAGCAGTGAGTTCCTCAAAGAGAAAGCTGAACTGGAACTGCAACCTTTCTCTATAGCTATCACGCCCTGGCCTTCTGACCTGATGATGTTAAATCAGCAAGGCGTAGACTCGGTCCATGGTGTAGGGACAGGAGATGGAGGATATAACCAGTAATAACAATAACAACAATAATATAATTAGAATAATAATAAAAGAATGAGGGAAAAACAGAAAGGACGAGAGAAGAATGAGGCAGGAAAGGGGGAGTTATCTTCGCAGCATCTTGCAGTGGCTTCTCTGATGGAGAGAAAACAGAGAGGATATATATCTATGTACAGGCGGAGGGCGGGCAGGGCCACTCTCTTCCCGGCCAGACTTCGTCACCAGGCCCTGGCTGATGTCCACGCTGTGACGCATTAAGTGATCAAGTCCCAGTCGAAGTCATCGGGAATCTCCTCACTGGCACCCGGAGGCGGGACCGGTGGCCGGGGGACCATGTGGTGGGCTACTGGGGAGAAAGAGAGTACAGGAGACTGGGTGAGAGGCCGCCCAGCAATCTGGACACAGTGCTCAATCCTGTAATCCCAGCCCTCGGGAGGCTGAGGCAGGAAGATCACCTTGAGTTCAAGGCCAGCCTGGGCCACATAGTAGTTCCAGGCCAGCTTGAACTACATAGGGAGTCCCAGTCTCAAAAACACAAAACTACATAAAAAGTAAAAAACGAATTACAAAGGGCTGGGGATGTAGCTCAGTATGAAGGCCCTGGGTTCAATCCCCAGTACTGCACATAAATAAACAAACAAACAAGCACCACTGATTAAGACTATGTCATATGATAAAATATAAGAATGTAATATTTTATGAAACAGCAGTACAGAAATGTGCATTTACATTACATGGACAAAAAAAAAATCAGATGTTATCCAAAGAGTGGAAAACACTTGTGGTCAGACAGGATGATGACAGTGACTTTTGTAAATGAATTTAAGTGTGAAGGCTCCATAAATTTTTTACTACGCCTATTCAGTGTTCCTTCCCCATGCCTGCACCCAAGACCAAAGACTGTTCAGTCCTGGGCTGGGTGTGTAGCTCAATGCATGAGGCCTGAGATCCATCCCCAGGCACCACAAAACATTAAACAACAACAAAAAGACGGTTCAATCTCCAGCCCAACACTAGCAATCAAGGGACAGGAATTCATTTCACCTGCCTGAGTGTATCTTCCATTCAGATCAGAAGCTAGACATCAGTGTCACATCTGACTATTTTCAGTTTACATTTACAGTTTTACTTCCTTTCATTATTGCTGTGACAACCAAATTGTAAAGTAAACCTAAGGTTTGGAAGTGTGGTTCAGTTATACAACACTTGCCTAGCATGTGTGAGAGCCTGGGTCTAAGTCCCACACCATCAAATATGAATGAATGAATGGAACATAATTTAGTAGTCGGTAACCCATCCCCTCCTCCAGCCACGGGAACCCTGATGGTTCACCCCATCCAAGCAGGGTCAGACAAAAGGGCAGAGAGAGAAGGCTGGGAGCAGAGGAAAGCAAAGTGACTCGTCAGGGTGAAATGTGCTTCTGGGCTCTCACCTGGGCGATTGTATGCTGTTGAGTCCTGGGTGGGGATGGGGTACATTGGTGAGGGTCCAGGGTAGAGGTGGGAGGCTTGTTGGTGCCCATAGGAGTTCACTGCCAAATCAAGACAAGAGTCACTGAGTGGGGTCATCGTACCTAATGGGGAGAGGGGTGTGCACTTTTCCTCTCTCCGATCTCACGCCCCCTTCTTGGCCTCGTTCTAAAACTTTGCATAAAGGAGTTCTGCACATGCTGCCAGCCTCGCTGTGTAGGATAAAAAGGAATGGGCTCCGAACTGGGAAATAGCAAAACTACAAGCATGATAAATACAGGCACACAACTGATTCTCCTTCCACTGGTTCAATACACCTGATGGGATCTAGGTAAGTGTTATGGAGAAGCAGTCTGGAATGGGGCTGCTAAAACATTTCCTCCAATTCCTCAAGTAATTCTGACCTCTCAGACCAAGGTCTACTTCTTTTGCTTGTTTCAGGACAACTTTTAAGTCAATGCAACTAACAATCTCAGAGCCAGGCATGGTGATGCACACCTGTAACCCCAGAATTCAGGAGGATGAGGCAGGAGGCCAGCATGAACTACAAGCGAGACACTATCTCAAAAACAACCAACCTTGGGGCCAGGGATTTAGCTCAGGGGTTCTCCCACCTGCCTTGCAAGTACAAGGGCCTGAGTTTGATCCCCAGTACCAAAAAAAAAACTACCAACCAACCAGTCCTGTGGATCAGTTTGGGTCACTGAATATAAAATGTCTCCCCCGATTCTCTTCCACTCTTCCCACCCTTCACTCTACCACAGTCCCCACCTCCGTGGCAACGTGCTTGGTGCAGTACCTTGGCTCATGGCTGGCTCCTGCTTGCCACTGGTGAGGGCACAGGAGTCCGAGATGCGGGTGGGGGCTGGAGGCCGGTGGGAGGAGCCTTGTGGGGGGATGTGACCCGTCTGAGTGAGGAAGTGGTTGAGGGAGTCACACAGGTTGGCGATGTGATGCTGGTCGAGGGTCCAGTTCTTCTGCTCGGCCTGTCGCAGACTCTCCATCAGCTCTGCAAACAGGGTGGGAGCAAGGCTGAGCTCACAGAGGTGCAAGGCCCTGGCCAACCCAGCAGAAGTCCACACCTCAGGCAGTGTGTGTACACAGTAGCACTTACACCTGCCCGGGCGCCAGTTTCAAACTCCCATTCTGCTTGCTCCTTGGCAGATTCTGTGATTTCCACCTTACTGATGAATAAAATACCTTTCACAGTGACGGACTGAACTCGTTATGGGCAAATTGTCAGCACACAGTGACTGAACTACACAGCGGTGGTCTAGGGTTTCTAAATTCCCAGGAGCCTTCCCTCTCCCAAAGACAAAACTGAGAATAAACTGCTGTACTTTGAGTTTAGGCAAATTTAATTTGAAAAATGAGATCATCATGACACATCTTGTGCAATGGGAGGGGAAATAATGAAATCCTCAACCTGTTGGGTTTTTTCACTCAGTATATGTCCCTCACTTTGTGTCCCTCTGGACATCATGCTTTAAGCTCTAACCTGAGAACTGTGACTGTTCGATGCTGGACCAGTTGAGCCGATTCACCATCTTGAAGCTCTCCTTTAAGGAGTCGATATTGGAGCACCAGTCAGGAGGAAAGGCTGCAAGAGTAAAGTGTTAGACGACCAACATTAAACTGACTACGTTCATGGTTCCTGCAGCACACAGATTATCCGTCAAGACTCTTACAGCTATCTATGCTTTAGGTGCAGCCCAGTTCAAAGGAGAAGATGCAAAATGATCCTAATTCGCCTCCAAATATGGTGGGGAAACAGAAAACCTCAATCCCCAAACCTACTACAATATACAACTCTAGGGAGCACTGGCTCTGCTGGCATGAGCTCTCTGGGACACAGGCCAGAAGTCCCGCCATGAACATCCGGCTGTGTTGTGCCTCAAGATGGGCTCTGGTTCCAGCAGCAGAGGCCAGAAGCCCCGTCGTGAACTTCTGGCCCGGCTGCACCTCACGCCTCCATGGCAGAGAGAACGAAGCTCCTTCACCCTCTTCCCGGTGAGCTCCCCACACTCACCGAAGCCAGGACTGTTGATGGGCGCCTGGCCCTGTGCC